TTTCGAGATTCAAGATCCAAACGAACCAATCAAAAGCGGGTTCAACATTTGATTATTTCCCTTTATTATGTTTTTACTATCAAGAAATAATTCAATATAATTATATCAAATGGGTCATTTCATTAAATTACAATGCAAGAAAAAGTGTTATATATATTAGAGGGAAATTTAAATAATTAATGGAATTTTGATCAGCAAAAAATATTTTTATTTATATTATAGATTCTTAAATATTAAATAGATTTCATATATCAGGAGTATATATATTTTTGAATTGTCTATTAAACTTAATTTTTATGCATTTCCTGTGTTAGGAAAACCACAGGTACTTGTGAAAGGTGCCACCCCCCCCTTCCCCCCCCCCCCCCCCCCCCCCCCCCCCCCTCCCTCGATATTCAACCCTTGGGCTTATTGGACATTTTTTTCACAAGTTTTATTTATTAAACTTATTCATCATGTATACAATAACAAAAAATTGTAAAATCCCCAGAATAATCGCTCAACACCTCCCCCCCCCAAATACCCACTATACATTATAAGAGAAGGATATGCCACTCCAGTCTGTTTACGTTGTACCCCCACTGGTGTTAAAGACGTACAACACACTGGGGGAGATAACTCTTGCGATTTCAATTGAACGTTTTACGTGACATCAAATTTAACGTCAAAAATAAAGCGTCAAAACGACGAGTAAAACGATCCCGATGTATATCAATCATGAAAGAAAATTGAGATATGGGGCTTGGCTGTGATTGTGCGTACCATACTCAATCAATAAGTATTTTTTTTTAATTAACCCGATTAAACTCCGTAAAAAGCAAGACATAAAATACCATCCCTTAATGTTTATTTCATTTCATTTCATATACAATAAATTGTATTTTTGATCAAAGCGCAGCATTTTTTTTATTCTGAAAATTTTATTTTACATTGCCGAAATTCTCATTATGTACAACTGGCTATATAACATTCCGATTAATGGTCTTCGTTACAATTTGTGCATACACGATATAAATATTGTTTTTCTTCTTTGATTAAATAAAACAACAATAAATATTTTAAACAAAAAACTTTTTTCAATGTAAAATTGATGTTGTTCTCAGACCCTTACTGATCAAAGAGGAACAACTCTGAAAATGTAGGAGATGTTTATTTTCCTCCCTTTATTCACGGTTTTCCACAGAATCACATACATTTACAGAAAGACGTGATAAATCCGAGAATTGAATACTATAGACCTCATATACACAATGTAAGTATAAAATTGAAAAGAATTGTTCACTTGTACTGAAATTATCTGCATTTATGAATATCCTATTGCAGCAAATCGTAACTTTGACTTTCTGTCAACAATGTCGGTTCGCATTTCCTCGACACAAAACAAAACGTAGCCTGTAAGATTTTAAAAAAAATATCAATGTGGGATTTGATATAAATTGAAATAGATGAATAGTTTAATGTTTGATATTTTGAAGTTAATGTGGACGAATACGGAATTTTCATTTTAACTTTAGAAGCGACGACATTGAAAGAAATGCGTACAATATTATCATGAGGGGTGTATGTACATCTAATGCAAATGTCGATGTATCCCCACAGCCACATACTGTCTCGTTTGAAATAATAACATGAAAGAAACTAGGCTACAATTATTCCATTTATATCACAGGAGAGTTGAACATACACCATTTTTTTAATGAATAAAATTAAAGAAATAAAATTAAAAATCAACATATTCAAGTTCAACAAAACTTGAATTCGTATCCAGGTTTCATGTGATATGGAATGCATAACGCATACGTACAGTATATGGACTAAACACTAAAATCTTTCAGTAATTTTTTCCTGATACATATAAAAAGAGTAGTCAATATTTATTCTGCATTCATGAATTTAAAAACTAATGCATACCTCCGGGATTCTTGACGAAATACCAGTATATTTGCACTGTAAACGACGTTTCGTCAAACGCTAGGCCTAATGGTCTGTGACGCAAAAAAGGAAGGGGTGGGGGTAATAGGGGTATTCAAAAATTGCCTAAAAATCTACATTTAAATACGCTTTACATATGAGAACTTTTAAATTTGTAAGTTAATATATTTTTTAAGCAAAAGCAATATTCCAATTTAATTTTTTTAATGTGTATTTGTAGATTCATATAACAAAGTGATCGACCCCCGTCTGAAAGACGCGCAGGAACGTGATTTATTGAGAAAGGGGGAGGGGGTAATTTTCCGCTATTAAATCAAAACTGGTCGTACAAAAATTATACAAAAAATTATGAAGATTATTTTTACTACCAGCTACCTAAAGAAAGTTTTTTACCAAAATTAAACGACAGGTTTTTTCACAAAAAAATTTTGAATTTGAAAAATACGCAATTTTCAAGGCTTAGAAAATTCACAGTTTTTCAGTTTAAGGTCTTTAAAAAATGTTTTGATGATATGTATATCAAAAAGATAATTATGATTTGTGTTAAATGGTTAAAAGAATAAGCCAATGAAATTTGACATTTATATCTAACCTGGTTTTATTGAAAATCAAAGTTTAAGTAGTTCATTGATTAAAATTTTTCTCTCCTTGTAAACAACTAAAGGGGGGTAACTTTCGGAAGTTCCTGTCCAAAAACCACTCGAACGATTTTGTTCAAAATATGCATACATGCAGTAGATATAGTCATGTACTAAATATACAAAAATAACGAAAATTAAACGACAGGAATTTTTTTGGGGTAGGTGTGTTGTACATCCTTAAATGCATTTATTTTGTTTTAACTTTATATGTCGATTCACACTGTCTCTACATATACAATGTATTTCCAGGGGCGGATCCAGGAATTGAAGTTAGGGGGGCGCCAGATTCAGGCAGGGGGTCTGGGGGCCGCCTTGAGGCCCCCAGTGGGTCCAGGGCAAAGCCCTGGTGGGGGCCCATGGGGCGAAGGCCCCGGAAGCTCTTGGATTCTAGAGGTTTTGTAGGGTAAAAATGAGGTCTACCGAGTAGACATTTAAAACATTTTCTCGACAAACTATGTTTTATGCTAACTTGGACAATTTTAAGGGGGCGCGCGCCGGGTGCGCCCCCCCCCTTAAATCTGCCACTGATTTCTGTCTTAGTCCATGCTATCGGACTGACTCTGCATCACGTAATAATCCCACATTTTTTCCGTAAACAGCTTTCTTTCTTGTAAAGTGGGGTAATAAATATTATTATCCTTCAGAATTATACAGTCAATCTGATTGGTTAAGAGCAGGTCACGTGCAGGGATACAACTCGTGATGTCTCCCTCACGCGCAGGGAGACAACTGTTATTTCCCTTCAGATGACAATGAAATAGCGTAAGCGATCATGCAGGGTTACAACTGTGTTGTCGCCCTTTGAATAGAACTACAGTGGTTTAAGCGAGATAACTCCTATCTATAAGTACATTCATGGCTAAATATGCGGGATCGGTAAACAATAAATTCTAACGATGACGTCAAAGTTGTCTGTTGACATATTTTGAAAGTATGCAATCGGAGCAGAGTAGAAGAAATTAAGAGGTTTGATTACTATTTTCTAATCTATCTAATTGAAAACTGTATATTCTTCAGGATAATAAAACTATTATGGACTGTTTAGAAGGGAGACATCACCAGTTATCAGGTCTGAGTAGGGTTGTCACCCGCGGGCGCAAGCGCCCTCGGGTGACAACCCTACACAGACCTGATAACTGGTGATGTCTCCCTTCTAAACAGTCCATAATTGTATAGTGTTTTTTTGTTTTGTTTTTTTGGTTGAGCGATTATTCTGGGGGTTTTACGCCAGCGATTTTTTTCGTATTGTAAGGCTACACATAACAGAGAAATAAGCCACGGGGTTCAATATCAAGGGGGGGGGGGGGGGGGGGTGTCTTGTCCACACGTACCTGTGTTTTTCTAAAAATTAAGACAAGAAACATGTATTGACGTAAGCGTCAAAAATCGGTCGCAAACCAATTAATGTTCCTTTTATGAAGCAACTAAAGACTATGGTGGTCTGTTTTTAAAATATCTTATATTTATCTTTTAATATATATCCTCGTGATATTAAAAGCTTGTGCTCTACATTGCATGATTTTCTTAATTATATAATGCATGTTCAGTATTAACCCCTGGTACTCTGCGTCAACAACTTTTGAACCGTGGGCCTGTATGGCATTTATATTAAAAGTTTAAAACTAAAATTAAATGTAATCTACAACTAGATATGCAGTGTAGTTTAATTTAATAAAAATGCAGCAAATATGTTGGTATCCTTGCTCTCTCTTAGAGGAAAAAACTAAACTCCCTCTAGATCCGCCACTTCATTTGTAGCGGGAAAATTCTTGGCACATTGTAAAACGTGCATTATCCTCGTCTGCTAAGGGCCAAATCTTGTAATATTTTGTAGCCTGCTAAGTCTTTTAATGAATTTACATTTAACCATATTTTTCAAAATGTTTATATGTGTACATATGTACACGTCATTTTAAAATAAATACGTACAATAAATCCCGTTTGAATAGAGAAAGTAAAATTGTGTAATATACACAACGCGGTCTTTGATTTAGACTACGCCCAACACGTGTCTTAATTTTCTCCGCACTTCAAACATATCTAAATTTCTAAGTCAGTATTGGATGAATTATTTACCTCATTCTTCTTAAGAATTTTTAATTTTATGTTTATTGTGCGTTTTTCTTTAACCTTAAGACCGTCTTTTTAATATACTATTATATTACTGTTAAATATTTTTTATTTAAATTGTTTTAACTCCGCAGAAACGCACAGCGACTTCGAACTTTCATATCATATAACCGACCATCTCCTGGCGGCCGGTAATTTGTCATCAATACAAAAATATAATTATATACTCCTAATATATGTAATCTATTTAATATTTAAGAATCTATAATATAAATTGAAATATTCATTGCGGATCAAAAATCCATTAATTATTTAAATTTCCCTCTAATATATATAACACTTTTTCTTGCATAAATTTAGCATTGACAGGGTCTTCCCTTCCTGAGAAGAGTTAAAGAATTCAGGTAAAATTTAATACCAGATATTCCGTTTCACAACCTCAAGGCCAACAGTTGTAAAAATATTTAAAGATACCTGCTATATCAGAAACGAATTTAAGTAATAAAAATATATACATGTGTATATATACTTATACATTCCCCTATTGTGGCCAAACCCAACCCTACAAATAGGGAGTTTAACAAAATTGAAGATAATCTCTCATTATTACTGCCTTTCTTGATAGCTTTTCTATGAAATGGCCATGGTTCTTCATTAAATCAGACTTGAAGTCCCTTCACCTAAATATATTCCGTGTCAAGTATACATAAAACTAGCTGAGTAGTTCGACAGGAAATGATTACATTGTACGAAGATGCTTATAAATAAATTTCAATAAGCTTAAAATATTTAATATCCTACCTGATGAAGAGCTTTTCCTTCATTTAACTGTAAGTTTTTTGTTGTCCAATTTTGCTGTGTTCCAGTTAAATTTGCTAGAAAAGTTTCCGCGTATGAGTTGTCTATTTTAGATATGGTTATCGATCCTCTTCCATAGAGAAAGTAGTCAAAATAAAGACAAAATTGCTTTCCTGTTTTAAAAAAAATGTAAATATTTTAATGTTTATGTAGTATAATATGAAATAATTTAAAATTGTAAATATACATTGCTTGGGTGTTAATCTATCCCACTGCCTTTATGTTATGAGCACCCCGGAAATTGTTGTATCTTCGTAAATGCTTAAAATGTTTTGATAAGTCGTTTGATGAATAAATGAGTAGTCTACAAAAGAGGCTCAAAAAAGAACGCCTGGAAATAATTATCGGGTAAGTATCTCAAAGTGAACAATGCCTTTTGCATTTAAGCCTTCCCTAACAAAAGAGAGGCATAGTGTGAACACTTGGAACTGCACTACCGTATGATGCTTCTATATCAATAGGACTAATTAAGGCTTTGTTAGTTCATTGTGACCCCTACCCCCGGAAACATGTACAAGAATAATCATTCAAAAAATCGGATTCTACACTACACGAGAATGCTTTGGTATTTCTAATTCATTAAAAGCACATGCATTCAATGTTGAAACACAGTTATCTGTTTTTGATACTTACGTAAGTAGTGTACTTTTATACGCATCAGGGGTATGGGGATGGCATAAAGCTACTGATATTGAAAAAATTCATCTTAATTATTGTAAAAGAGTCTTAGGGGTGGGTCAGAAAACAGTCAATAATTTCGTATATTGCGAATTGGGAAGATATCCATTAGCACTAAAAATGAAATCAAAAATTTTTAAATACTGGCTCAAGTTAAGAGGGACTGGTAATTGTATTCTTAGGGCCTGTTATGAAGATATGGTTTTACGTAACGATAATTGGATTATGTGTATTAAAGAAGAGTTAGGGACATTAGGTTTGAGCTATTTATGGGACTCCAACATTGTTGATAATTGTACACATAAAATAATTGAGCAAAGGATGGCTGATATTTATAGACAAAATATTTTTTCATTTGTAACTTCGTCTTCAAAAGGGCAACTGTACCAGTACGTTGTAAATAATTTTGTATTACAAAGATATTTAACAAAACCTATTGATGATAAATATAAGAGAATGCTCACCAAGATTAGATTATCAAACCACCAATTAAAAAATGAAACTGGTAGATATAATAATACACTTAGATCTCAAAGAATTTGAACACTATGCTCCTCTAATGATATAGAAGATGAATTTCATTTCATATTAAAATGTCCATTTTATGAAAATCTTAGAAGTATGTACATTAAGAAGTTTTATTACGTCAAACCAAGTGTATTTAAACTTGTAAGTTTAATGAGTAGTCAAAATGTAAAAGAGTTGTCAAATTTGGGAAAATTTTTATATAAAGCTACTGCTCTACGAAAGTGTAATCTGTAACTACTATTGATATGTATATCCTTTGTGTGTGTTTGTATATAATATTTATTCTGTACTCTATATCATGTTTATATCCTGTACTGATGGGCCTCTGGCTTAAAGAATAAAGAACAAGTTAACAAGCTTTGTTAATATTGTAATATGTGGCTATTGGCTTTTGTGTTCCTGAGAGGAAAATTATTAAATTTTCTCCTATTTAACGATGGAAAACTTTAATCACCCATAATGGTTTTAACCTACTCCTGGGTCCGTCACTAGAACAACATTAAACCTATACTTTGTCAGGAATATTTCATTCAAATTTCATCTTTTCTTTCCAAAAGGTTTTTGAGAAGACTTTAAAATGACCTCGCTTAATTTTTACCATTCCTTTATTATCTAGTAAGATAGTATGGTCTTTTATTTGAACGATTTGAAATCTTTTTACCCTAGGAAACTCAAGTTTGGTTTAAATTGTTTCAGACCATAACAAACATTGAAATTGTTGAAAATCAACAACAAAACAACGGCAACTACAGACAATTGAAAATTTTTTATTTAAAAAAAATCATCTCTAGAGCTTTCGCCGTATCTGAATAAAAAGACTGTGTAGCTGAGAGAAAATATGTTTGAATATATGGAAAATTTCACTCTAAAATAACCACAAAAAAAAATAAATAAACTTACGCTTTTCAGTCAGCGTTATAACCATATCAGTAGAGGATGGACCGATTGATAGGCCTGTCATTGAAAGGACGGATGATAGAAAACTTTTTGTATCTTGAAAGACATAATATAGATCATCTGTTCCTGCTTTAGGTCTCCCTCCAAACAATAAACCATACTGAAGAAAATAATTCCAATGAAGTATTGAGGAGATTCAATTGTCTTACAATAAGCTATTACCGTGTTAAGTGGATAAGTACATGGAGCAATGATACATGTTCTCTTGATATTTTTTTATTTTGTACAAAGCAATAAATCTGTCAGTTGTACTTATTGTACTCTAGGGTCTTAAAATCTAACTTATCTTCTTACAAAGGAAGCTTGAGTCTCATCCACATCCCGCAACTTTTGACGTATATTGAGAAAAAAATACTTCTACTTCCGGTTTGATGTAGTTTGTGCACTGAACATTTATCAGGCACCGCTTGTAAGAGACTTTTACAAACGATTTGGAAATAAATTTTTGTTATTGGAAAAGTACGTGATAAACTGAAAGCTACAACCAAATTATAAACAAAAGAAAATGCAGGACGTGATTTCTTTAAAATCGGTTGCTGATATTTTAGCTTCATCAACTTGTTTGTCAAAAGTCTACCTCGTTTTAGATATTGCTCTTGCGTATTTAATCAACTGAGAGATATAAACCCCGTATGCAGGCGATGAAGGTTTATTGTTGTATAAGTAAGGGAAGTCAAGGTAATCACGATTATCATAAATCTAGTAAGATTACCAAGTAAAATATCCAAATATGAAACAGATAGATGAATAACACACTCTGTGGTATTTGTTATTTAAAGCTCGCCGGGATATATCGTATCGACATAAGTATGGAAATAACCGTTGTTAATTGACATTATGTCGACGATATATATTTAAAGGCCACAGGAAGTGTTTTCCTCTCCTCGTGTAAAGGATTTTGGACAAAAGTTCTGCTTTATATGAATTTTAAAATAGTTTGCTAATTACCCATAGGAATTCCAATAGATCGTTGGAAGATCTGGTCTCCAAAAACCCACAAAGATATTGTCAATCAGGAACTAAACATCTTTTAATATCAACTTCAGAGTACTTAGTGTACAATCAGAATTATTTTATTAAAATAATTTTGCAAATGACCAATGACAAGGTAAGTAAATGTACGAGTTAATTGATATTTTTAAACAATCAAGTTGTAAAGCACTTACGTTGTCACGTCTCAAACGTGGATTTGAAGTTGAAAAGTTGCAGGTATCCTTCCAAAATTCCTTTTCAAAAGTGCAAAAGACAACGACATCTGATAAATCTAATGCAAAAATAAAAAAAGGCATCTGGATGTTTAATTATTTGACAAACAAGTTTCCAACTTAAATACATGAAGAAAATCTACATAAGATACTTGACAACGCGTGACCGGACAGCAGAGTTTTATTTTTAGATGGACATTTGAGCTTGAAAACTGTTCGTTATACATGTATTTCATACATATAGGATCTCCCATGGTTTGTAGTTGGATATGATTTTTATCCAACGAGTTGTGTGATTTTTATCCCCGAGCCTTGGCGAGGGGATAAAACACACAACGAGTTGGATAAAAATCATATCCAACTATGAATCATGGAAGATTCATTTTATCTCATGTTTAATATTTCACAACCGATGTATTACACTGTTTTTATATGGGACTCCACTATATTTTACTTCATCACGCTAACGCAAAAACCATTGTGACGTCATAACTGCACTTAAATGTGGGATGTGAAAACGATATCACATGAGATATATCCACGGGATAAAGGGGTAAACATGGGATAATATACAATTATTGCTGGTTTTTGAGGTAAAATGATTTAATTATCAATATTCACCGAGCCCGAAGGGCGAGGTGAATATTGCGAAGATGGCTATTGTATGTAAAAAACAGCAATAATTGTTTTATTATATGATTCACTGATAAAATGATACAGCTTATTTTATTAAGTCCTAGCCAAATACAAGAGAGAAGCAGAATTAAAATGTGAATAAACCTTACCAGTCGTATCAATTTGAAATGTTTTTTTTTTAAATCAATTTTAGTTGCAATGAAAAAAATATATAATGTCAATCTTTTTCATAGGATAGATTTTGAAAAGAAGGAGTATATCAGGGAAAACTAACTGCCAAAAAGTAAAAAAGTAAAAAAAAAAAATTGTTGTTCAGTAAAAGTGTTGGAGGGGGGTCATACCCTCTTACCACCCTCACCTAAAATATATACCGGTATTCGCTTATGTTTTGTTCACATGAAAATAAAAATCATAGTCGTTTAAATAGCTTTCTAAAACAATTTGTATCAATTTGGAATTTCCCAATCTATTTTTAGATCAATGTAGAGGAAATAAATCCTTGACGTGCAGGTCAATACAACGTAATATTTTTCTAACATAGTTGGATCTCAGCCAATCAGAGTGATGGAAATTATTCAATCATATAATAAAAGAAATTATCTGCTGCATAGATGTCACTGGCCATGCATCTGATTTGAGATCTCCAAAAGATATTATCAGCACAAAATTAGATAACAGACAAAAATATTGTTATGATTTTCCTACATAAAATTTCATAGGATTGAACAGAAAGAGTGCAATTATTTTTAAAATCATTAAATTTTTAGTAGAAATTCAATATTCCCTTTTAGAAAATAACATTAAATTGACAGTGTGTTTAACTAGGCAATCATAGAGTTCAACTTTTGATAATTACTCCGATGGTTTATGTTCTTTTTAAAATATTTTCTTGGGGAATTGAAAAAAAACTGTCATGACAGAAATTGAAAGTTTCAGTTTAATAATAAATAGCTCAGCAATTTCAGAAACACATGTAATAATTTGAATAAAAAATAATATTTTGACACTACAACTGAAAATCCACGTTTTGTGTGTTAAAGGACCTATTTATGTTCTCCGCTTTTTTCACATTTCAATTTTTTTTTTCAAATTTGAAATTCGAACAACCAATTTTAGTTAACATTTCAGATTTAGTTTCTATTCAAATCTTACTATCTTGCTTTGATGTTTTTCCCCTAAATGTCGTCCCAAACATAATTTTTACTATACCTGAACAAGACGCTGACTGGTTAAAGGACCCTTCTTTGCAGATACACCTGTCAAATTTACATTTAGAGAACGATCCCGAGCAAGGAGCTGTAGACACGTGACAACTACAGTCCTCCCCTTTAAAACCGTCACGACAAGAACAGGTCCCGTCTCTGAAGTCACACCCAGTACTTGTTTCCTTGACACAATCACATGTCTTTGAGCAGTCGTCTGAATATTTCCAGTCTGGGCAATCTACAATTTAACATTTAACGTGCAAAAATCCTTTTACACATGTAATGTTTTTAAGTTCTTATTTTCATATTTCATCTCCAGCATCCCTTTAAAATTGAATTTAGAAATCTGAATGAAGAAAACGGCATTATCTTGTTTTTATTTGTCAAACAGGTATTTCGCAGAGTTTTTATGTTTTGACGGTAATTTTTCGATAAACTTACAGTATGTTTAAAAAAAAAGATAAATAACCAAGTAAAACACAAATCCTTAAAGGGTTAAAAAAAATTTAATCGTGCATGCTATAATTGAAAAACGTTTCACGGCCAGATGCTTGCACCAGATACCTGGCCTCAAAATATATTTTGTTTTAATCCTAGTGCAGTTAGTAACATTAAAATCAATGGATATTGTGTAGCTTATTTGTCTGGCTTTTTACACCACATTCGAGATTTTTTCAGCCATATTGAGATACCACCACTCGTATTGAAGCGCTGTAAATTTTAAACCCTTATTCAGCACTAAGGGTCATTGAGCAGTGAGGATGCCAAAACACGACATGCGACACGGGACCTTGGTGGATACAGTCTTATGCGAAAGAAAGGTCTCGACAAAAGATGAACCTGCACCATTCAGTCGACTGATCATTCACTGAAAGTTTAGGAAAGGTCACTGAGGGGCAGAATTTTGTCATTCAGCACCTTTCAGTAGACTCTCAGTATTTGTTCAGTTAACTAATTATAAGTGGCAGAGCTTTATCCTGTGTGCAGTGGGATTCGTATACGGCGTAAGAATTAAATATATATTAAAACTTTAACGGTATAACCGACAAATCTTAGGTGGCAAGACCATGCAATCATTGGAAAATGTTATCCCAAAGTGACAACGCGAGTGTACAATATGTAGAAAAATTTATTTATTTATTAAAAAAGAAAGATTCTAAGTATATCAAATAAAAGACTGACCACCACAGTAGACGACTGGACTGTAAGAACATGAAGAGTCCGTTTTTAAAAAAGGACATTCAGACAGCATTTCCTCTGTCCCTGTACAATTGACCAACTTCTCGGCGTATCTGAAGTTTTGATGCTTTGAAGTTGAATATATAAATTCCCTGTAAAAGAAGGTGCTTTTTCTTTAAAAGTAGTGTCTGTTTTACAGTTACAGAGCAAATTATCACCGTAAAAATACTTATCTATAAATCAAAGTATTTCCATCAAAAATTAAAAAACATTAAGTTAATAAAATTTTTTGCAACGAAAGATTGAATAAATATTTTGTAACACTGAGTACAAAAAATACACAGTGTCATTGAAGCAAATTGTGCGTTCAAATTTGAGATTTTAAATTACGTACGTGCTTTCGTTTAGATGACGGCAAATAACCCGAGCATTTCTCTTAAGATTGTCATCACAGATACCATCCCATCGATCACCTTCAAAGACTTGCGCGATTCCGTTGGAGTTAAGTCTTATATTGTCTAAGACAAAAAGATATAAAATTGTGCAAAATAAAATAAACTAAGGTGTAGTGTATAGACAAAACCGTTTGTAGTACAGCATAAAACCAAAAAAAAAGATTTTTTAAAAAACTAATGAAGCAAAAACAAACATGCTTAGTGTCCAAATACAACATGAATATGTCCTTCTTTCATATTATCCCTCTGCAAGAAATATGAATTTTGTGGATATAGAGATATACAAGTTATCACACGTCATGAAATAATCAATATATAGATGGACAGTGAGATAAATGTGTTTGCTCATTTATAACATAAGGTATAATACACCTGATGCCTGAAAAATTAATTTATTTTCAGTTCCCCTCTGATTATATATAAAATACAGGTATGGGTAAATACTGGAAAATTTTGCAACCACCAAAAAATAAAATTTCTAATGCACTACGACAGAAAATTCTTAACTCCTCAGTGTCTCTTACCTGACAAAAAACTAATTTGTGATTATTGTTCTGTTAATATTTAGACATTATTCTTACCGGTACAATTGTACTCTGAATTTGTGAAACCTTTCTTACAAATACAGAATACTTCACTCGATTCCTCGTAGCAATCAGAAACGGTGGTGTTGCAGGAGTGAGAACCAGCTTGGCAGTTGCAGGAGAACCCGGTATATCCCGGCTTACAAACACATTCTCCAGTCTCCATATCGCAGGATTCAGTATTATTTTTCTTACATGGACAGTCTTCTTTGCAGTTATCACCGTATTTCAAATGAGGGCAAACTAAAAGATGATAGATTTAACAAACATGTTACCTTCAGTTTGAATAAATTTGTACTTATACTGCTGTTTAAATGAGAGGGATTTACTAAAATCGGACATTTTTTAAGACCGAGCAATATTTTGCTCCAGATCTAATGCTCTGTATACCTTATTTATTCATTACATTTATAAGATATATTTGCTATAAAATAACCCAAGAATAATGAAATATAAGATCTGCTTCTTAATTCCTCATAAAACGTTTAAATGAAAACAAAATTAGGCAAAAAGTATTTTATCTGTTTATTATTAAATATCTTGAAGTCATTCAAAATATGTCGAGGGGTCAGGAGTAAATTTTGAAGTGTTTTAGCTAGTTTTACACTGTAAATAGGATATATAAACTTTGGGATCTTGGTCGTGAGTCAGTTGAATGTGGCTTCCATATTTTATGGGGTGACCGAAACCTGTTGTTTCCCAAGTTTCGGCCACTTAGCGTTTGTAAGGAACAGCCATTATCATGTTTTTATGTTGTTTGTTGCTGCTGCTGCTTGTTGTAATTTGGGGTCGCTCTTTACGCTTGGCGACACCTTGCTGCTTTAAATATATCACAGCTAACAATTGCCAATATCAAAATGATTAATTAAAATAATTAAAAATCGTCTTTGTTTATTTTCCTCTATATAAATAAGCATATTTTTTTTAAAGAAAACAAGAAAAGGAAATTAATTTTGATGCAAATTCTTGTGAGACCCCTTACCACTATCACAGGTGAGTTCCACCCTGTTGTATCCAAAGCTAGGACAATAACCCCTATCGTTAACAGAACAATCAGACAAACTGGTCTCATCACCTCTACATCGCATATTCCTCGAGTGTGTTATGCCATTTTCACTCCCACTGAATCCTGGTGTAACATATTTCCTAGTTTACAAACATATTTTTTATCCAAAAATTTAACCCTTGTATGAATCACAAGAAAGAAAAACTAGCTATTCTATAATATCAGTGCTTTCCATCGTAATAGAACATTTAATTTGGATTTAATCTTTTTTTCAAAAAGGGTTTATTTATTTCGTTATTTCTTGGATCCTCTTCTGAACAGATGGTCATATGACTTAGATAGTAATTCATTTGTATTTTCATACCCGCAGGCTAACCACGGCATACAGGAGAGGACCTGTCCCCACCCCAGCCATCCTACATGTAAGGTTGACAAACTTATTTCTAATGCATTAATAGTTTCTTTAATTAATGTCCTTTTTGTTCTGATAAGCAATATTTTTTGTTTTTATTTTTTCGTTCTTGAACATATCTTGCTTTATAAGTGTATTAGTCCCTTTAGAGACACACATATGATTTATATAATTTTTTATATATTTACGTTGAGATTTTAAGCCTGATTCTTTTCTTTTGTGTTTAATTCTTAACATTTATTCCATTACTTTCTTTTTTAAATCATTTTCTCTTGAGGACCACCGTTCATGGTATCTCAGTCGGTAGAGCGCTCGCTCCGTGATCGAGAGGTCGTGAGTTCGTATCTCGGCCGCGACTGACCTAAGTCGATAAAAAAATGGATAGCAACTGTTCCTTCGCCATGCGCTCGGCACTTTGAAGTGAAAGTTGCGGGTCCTTCGGATGAGACCTTAAAAACCGAGGCCCCGTGTCAGCGGCAGGCGCTGGCACGATTAAGATCTCTCACTGCTCAATGGCCCTAAGTGCCCAGTAAAGGTCAAAATTTGAAGCCCTTCACCGGCATACGGTGACGTCTCCATATGAGAGAAAAATTCTCGAGAGGGACGTTAAACAATATACAATTAATCAATCTATTGAGGACCTAGTTAACTGAAACACTATCAGCTGCAGAGAGATCTAATTATTAATTTTCACATTATACTGATAGTAAATTCGAAGTTTTGAGAATATAGAACTATATATATATATCTTTACAAAGAAAATTTCAACATATTCAAATTTGAAATGTAAGGAAAAGGTATACCTTCATTTAAAAATTTGTAAAAATGTCTCAAAGCTGTTGTAAGGTAAACAGGTACTGTGAAATCACTTTTATTTGAAAACCAAAAAAAATGTAATTTAACCTCAAAGCTGTTGTAAGGTAAACAGGTATATATGCCATTTCAAATGCTTTTCTATAAAGACCTAGTGCTTATTATATATGAATATAAAAACAAAATATTCATGTGATATTTAAAAATTCCTACGTTGGCAGCCCTAATTCTCGACAGACAACTTTGGCAGCATTCTCATCAAATCCGCTGTCACAAATATAACCCCATTCACCATTGTGATAAATTTGAAGAGTTCCTCTGGTTTGTGTATCAACAGTTTGATTCAAAGCCAACCGCACCAATGGCCCTAGCGTAGGAAAGATATGGAGATAACAAAAAGTATTCAATATCAAGGTAAGAAAAAAATGCAAATGCTAGTTCTTCTTGATATCCATCAATTACTAAAAATCAAAGTGTAATACACACTAACACATCATTTGGACATACAAATGTAGCAATAACACATAGCAGCTTTATTGTACAATATACATATAGCATGTAGAAAATGAAAATCAAATATAATTTATATACTTGTATATCGTACGAAATTATTTTACTAATATAAAAAAAATTGTTATGTTTCAGTATTTATCTTATTGTTTATTCATTGCTTCAATTTATATTTCCTTGTTCCATGCCACGTGATCCTACTTCTGTTTTAAGAGGTTCGTGTTAGATTCGCTCATTTATTATTTTTTTAATGAACTTTTAATTTAGCATAATCACTTCATATCGTTATTTAAGGAATGACTCTAATTCTTGGCCAAATTATCGAGTATAATCTGGTTTGGGTCTGTTTACGCATTATAATCCGCGAAGCGGATTATAAAAAAGCGTTAACAGACCCAAACCAGATTATACTCGATAATTTGGCCGAGAATTAAAGTCATTCCTTATAATTTAATTTTAAGATAAATAAAACAACTTTTGATGTAAAATTGTGCTGCTTTTTATGAGTTCAAATATACCGCGCAATAATACAACCTTAGTAACGGAAGTGATAGGAAGCGAGGGGAGGTAATAACTGATACATAGATCTAGCAGCCATGATGTTTGTTTACATGAGGTAAGATCGAGTAACTGTTTGAAGTTAAAGGTACATTTATTAAATCTGGAATTTTCCATGGATTCCGAGGACTGGAAATGAGGGGATTGCATGGATAAGATGACTAAGCTGGTCGTCAAGGGGGTGTGTCCCCATACCAAACCAGATTATACAAAATGTTTTGCGTTCCTTTTTGGAAATCAACCAATGAGAGGCGAGGATATAAACAAAATTAAATTATCTATTTTTATTAATTTTCCAAACAAAAAGAACTATAAATAATATAGTTAATTAAAGTTTAAAGTTTTCACCATAGTATAATTATCAATGATTATTTACCTCTGGTACTATGATTTCCAGATTAAAAATATTCTTTGAAAATTCCATCAAGAGATTTTCTGATATTAAAGAAATTTTTTTGTGTATGTACATAATCTTGCAAAAAAATCATTGGTATGTAGTTTTAGAAATATGAAGGCTCCAAATCTTTAAAACAAAGTGCTAAAGTATAGTTAATCAAAGTATTAACTATAGTTAACTTTGGTTTTGAAAATGAACAATTCTTATTGTTTCTTGGAAAGAGAAAGGGGGATAAAAGACTCCTCTCTTGTTGATTTAAGGGCAAATTTTGAAGAAAACAAGATGTGTTTGTGAAACACCGATGCCCCCGTATGGCAACATATCAAAGATTAAACTTTCCTTAAATGCAAAATTAATTAATTGGTACCAAAAGTAGGGCATTCTCACTGGAAAACAATTGTGAAATTTGAAAGTAAGCCAATATTAAAGTTTTTTTTTCAATATAAAGTACAAAAATTCCAAGGCCAAGGTCAAAAGATCAATGTAATTTGGTATCAAATGAAAGGTCTTGCCACATAGAATACTTATGTAGAGCATGAAAGCGCTAGCCCTAAAAGTTCATAAGTTATGGCCAAGGTTCAATTTTTTAAAAAGTAGATCAAACTCCAAGGTCAAGGTCAAAGGGTCAAAGTTCTTGTTATGAAATGAAAGGTCTTGTCACAAGAATTAAATATGTAAAGTATAAAAGCACTAGCCATAACCCTTTAAAAGTTATGGTCAAGTTTTGCTTATTTGAAGAAGGTCAATCTTGAAGGTCAAGATCAAAGGGTCAAAGTTCTTGGTATCCAATGAAGGGATTTTTTACAAGGATTACATATATGAAGTATGAAAGCCCTATTCCTTACCGTTCAAAAGTTATGGCCAAAGTTAAAGTTTTTTCACAAGTACGGAAATTTACAAGGTCAAAGTCAAAGGGTCAAGATTGTTGGTATCCATTGAAAGGTCTTTTAAAAAAGATTACACATGTGAAGTATAAATGTCCTGATGTCTACTGTTCAAAAGATATGGCCAAAGTAAAAGTTTAAAATTTTTATGTAAAAGTGGGTCAAACTTCAAAGTCAAGGTAAAAAGGTCAAATTTGGTGGTACCCAGAGAAAGGTCTTTTCACAAGGTATACACATGTGAAATATGAAAGTCATAGCTCCACTAAATCAAAAGTTATGGGCAAGGTTAAAGTTTTTGCGGACAAACAGACAAACAGAGAGACAGACAGACAGACGGACACGACACAAACTATATACCCCCGAAACTTCGTTTACGGGGCATAAAAAACAGGAGGCCTTGGGCTTTTAAGGTCACTTGAGTATCATGAAACAATTGATTGTGGTTCGTGTTTTAAACCAACTTTCACCCATTGATGTTATCATGAGACAAAAGCATTTTTAAATTCTGTCATCGATTTTTTCAGGAAAATTGTTCTTGATTGATACTTACTCCGCGTCTACCCTGTCTGAATAAAATCAAACCTTCACTTTTGATTGTTGCATGATGTGCGACAATCAAAATAAAACTGATCTAGTGAAGGTTTGATTTTAATGAGACTGCTTTCACTTTTCCACAGTAAAGGAAACTGGTTTTTTTTTTACTTTGAAAATTATGTTTACTTTTCATAAAATATACTAGTAAGTAAAAGAAATTGATTTCGTTTAACCAGTATTTTTTTTTCTCTAGGCGTAAATGTAATATTTATAATTAAACAGGATCTTTTCCTTAAAAACCCATTGTATGAATTATATGGAGATAACAAACAGTTTTCAATTCCATTAAACGCGGGCCTCTAACATATCAAAAGTGGGATCGGGTGCCATGGATGAGCAGGTATAAACCTGTCGACCGACCAGACCTGCTTTGTTATGAATTGGAAAAAAAAGGAAAAAAAATCGTTAACAATTCAGTTTGTATTCTTTGGCTTAATAATCAGTATGATAAACAGTTAGCATTGGACTTTCTAGAAGCATGGAGAATGAACAGTTTATTAATGATATAATACATTTGCTGGCAAGGCCATTGTATCGACTATGCACCTGTCACGGTAGCCTAGTGGTAGATTGTTAGCTTCGTGATCGGGAGGCCCGGATTCGGTTCTTGTTCGCGGCGCCGTGTCATACTTAAGACGTAAACATAGGTAGTGACTGTTCCTTCGCTAAGCGCTCGGCCCTAGAAGTGAAAGTTGCGGGTCTTTCGGATATGACCTTAAAAAACGTAGGCCCCGTGTCACGGTAATCGTTGGTACGATAAAGAACCCTCACTGCTCAATGACCCTGAGTGCCGAGTATAAGTCTAGATTTGTAGCCCTTCATCGACATACAGTGACGTCTCCATATGAGTGAAAAATTCTCGAGAGGGACGTTAAACAATAAACAATCAAACAATCAATCAATTGACCATGCATAGAGCTTGAAAAATACTGACCGTTAGAACATGTCCTTGCTTATTGAATAAACTAAATTTCATAGTAATTTATTTTTTTTTTAATTGTTTTTAAAATCTGTGATTTTTCATTTTTTTTTTCAAATAGAGTGGAAAGTATGCCAAAAACATTATAAAGGTTAAGGTTTTCAAAAAAAAATACACCTAGATAATAATTCAGCTTTTACATATGCAAATGAAAGCAAATTAACTCTAAATACTGTGTTCTACTGAAACAAAAACGTGAAATAGATCGATTGTACAAAAAAGGAATAAATATATTTATTAAAAAAATCACAAATAAATTTAATTAAGTCTCTGATCTATATGGCTAAAATCTTAAAATACAATTTTGCAAACTAAGTATTTAAATTAAGTTCGAATTATTGAATTTTATGAAATTGTGAGAAACAAAACTTCCCCGAAATATTTGTGGGATTCGAATCATATTGCTGTGTTACTAACATGCTAACCACTATCCTACACAGCTCTAGGAGAATTAAGGCATTTAAATAATGTTTGTGATGTGACCCTTGACTTAATGGACTTCAAGTATTTTTAGAAACATACAAATGTTTTGTCATAAAAGTGAATTTTTAAGGTAAAGTGGGTTCTTCCTCCATATCTTTGTGAAACAAAAAAATTATATTTTATTTCATACTTTTAGAATTATTTTTCAAGAAAATGGAGAAAAGATCCACTCATATTGAAAAAAATGTTTAAGTATGAAAAAACCTTTTTGTCCTTTTCAGTGTGTGTTAGTTTTTACAAGGCGAATAATTTTAGTGTTTGTGAGATTGTTGTAAATTGTAGAGATTTAAATAAAGTATATTTTAATGTTAGATGAAATATCAAGTAAAATTTGGATATAATTGAGATTTAATTTTTCACTTCATGTCTGTCGCACTAGAGGCATTTCGTCCGCCTTATCCTCCATATTCCTAATCTGACCTTGATTTCGTTCACCCTTTACTGAATAAGAATTTGGTGTTTGGAAAATTAACTTTTTCTTGACCGGTATGAATATACTAAGTAAATAGTATAAACCGAAAAATTTGTCAGCTCCAACCACCGACACTCCTGCCTTCAAAATCACCTTCTTGTCCTCTAATTCTTAAAACCAACAACACACAGAGACAATATATCCTTACCTGGAAGTTGATCGTTAATTTTACCTAGAATGGAACTAAAAATATCTTTTATTTACAGATAACAAAAGCAAATGGCAACCTCACCTTTAGCTTGGCATAATAATTGCAAGAGGACAATGGCTCCAGCATAGAACCAGAACATCATTTTTTAGACGCAGGTGGTTTTCAGCTTATTCATAATGATCTGAACTTATTAATAAAATCTGAAGGCCGTTCAAGACCTTTATATAAGTAATTCTTTAGAGGGTTCGTCATATACAGATGTAGATGAAGGAATTCCTGCCCATACTTCCTGGTAAACCCTGGTTTACTGCATTTTAATTGTATAAATTAACCATGCCTGATTGGAGTAAACTTTTTGAACTTTCATTTTAAATTATACACTAGAATCTAAACTTCAGTGGCTACAATTTCAAATCTTACAAAGAACAGTACCAACAAATTTATATCTTTTTAAAATTTAGAAAAAGGAGTGTTCAGCTTGAAGTTTCTGTAAGATTGAGTCAATCGAACATTTTTTTGTTGCATGCAATTTAGTAAAAGAGTTTTGGAGTGATATTGAAGAATACCGGTAGTAGTTACTATAGTTTTGTGTAAGTTTAATATATCTCTGGTTTTTGACAGACCAACAATATTATATGGCAAACATAAGAATAAGGATGCCCATTAAGTGCATAGTCTGACTACACTGATAACCAAAAATTTTATTTTTTCGACTAAATTTTAAAATTCTTCTGTTCCAAGTACAATGACTCTAAAAAGAATTATTGCGGAAAGAATCTTGATAGAGAACTTTCTACTTTTGAAACAATGTAAATATACCGAGTTTGAGAATAGCTGGCAGAACTGATATGTTATAATTCATTTGTACATGCCTACATGTATATAATTTTTTCAAGAAAAGAATGTTGATTATTACCCCCTAATGTAAAGAAAAAACTTCCCATATATTTTCATGTTTTTGTTTTTCTTTTCTTAACTGTTTCTTTCTCTGTCTCTTTTTTTCTCATATTTTTTTCTCTATTCTATATTAAAACAACTTTCACAAGTGTTTAAATATGTACATGTTTATGTGCATGTATGTGTGTGTGTTTATGTAGTTTTGATACCTATATACGGCATTTATTATAGGTACTTGAGTGAAGATATATAATGTGAATACACTTTGTATACTTATTTGATATAAATGAAAAAGCTGAAATAAAACAAATATTCAAGGTCATGAAAAATAATTATATAAATTAAAACTGACAAAACAAAGTTAATTCAGATAAAGGTAAAAACACGGAAGAAAAGTATAAAAATAGTGAAGTCTACCATGTTATCTTTGAAGTCCGGTATCCGTCTGTAAGTGAGAAAAAAATAAAAACAGGAAAAAGGGAAATCGGCAAAAGAAAAAAAATGGAGAGATCTAGAAGGCAAGATATGGAATACAAAATTGATGCGGAAGTTAAGACTATTCTATCATCTCTAAGGAGATCAAATAAATTGAATGCATGGAATATTCGATTACTTCAATCTTTACAAACAATTCTTTAATTTAAAAAGAATGCGTTACAGAAACTGTTTGTGTAATTCGACGTCTTATCCAAACCAAAAAAATAAAACAAACTTTTACCACAGGTTTCGCACAGTTTTGCCGACTTTTTTCATTTGCCAAATGCGTTTATTGATGTATCGATATTTTTTTTGACTCCATGCACTTAGTTTGATCCATTAAACCTTTGGCTGCCCAATCACTACTTTGGCAAACATTTCTTAAACAAACATATTTATGTTCAATTCTACTTAATAAATATGCTTTTTCATATTAGTAAAGCAAATTTTATAAATATCAATATGTTAATCAAACAATACAATAAACACAGTGGACATCTACATGTATTATTTTACCTCATAATACCTATTCTATACAACGTATTATCTGCTTAGTTCTAGATTATCACGTGACCGGACCATAAACTTCATATTTCCCTGTCGTCAACATATGCTTTTCATGATATTCTACCTCTTTGGAAACCTACTAGGAAACCTAATGCATTTTCTCGCAAATGTTATCGTTCGTTGAACGAAAACTCTTGAGAGTAGTTGATGTCACATAGCCTGGTTACGTCACAAAATTGCTGATTATTTCATCGAAGTGTGATGTGTAAAAGTGATTCAGTAACTTTACCTTGAAAATGAAGGTGAATTTGAGAGCATTGACGAATCTAAAAGTTTGTGCTTTGTGACCATAACACTACCATCGTTAACTTTCCTAATTTATATAGCAATAGATATTTCTTCACCTGCATTTGGGGTTTGCGTTTCTTAGTTTATTCGATATGCATGAGCATGTTCTTAACATTTAAAGGAGGAGAGATTTTGGCAGAAAAATTGATGAAATAAAAATATCTACATTTTCGTGTAAATTAATATTTTCCAAAGTTCTATGGTTGAACCGCTTCAGCAAAAATAATCTATCATAAGCCTAATGCTCACTGACCTATTTCATACTTATTGTTAAGTCATTATGCACTGAGTTTTCTACGGTGAGTTTTTGGTTCTCCCAGTGACATGATAAGGAGCACACCGTGAGTGTAATCGTTCGGTATGAATTGCTTACTCCTACATAACTCCTGATCCCACCTCTGTTGTTTTTAGGGTTGTGTTTTCTCTGCTACCGATTTGTATTGCTTAACTTTACTATACTGACTGATCGTGACCATTGAGTGTGACACATCTTATTTTACTTGAAAAAAGACGTTAATGGTAAGATTACAACCAAGCTCTATGATAAACGTGATGACTTTAATTTTTCTATCGTCAACTTCTCTTACTCATGCAGCAATATAACTTCATCACCTTCACACAGAGTTTATATCTCTCAGTTGATTTTTAAAATGATGTAAATTATTGACAAACAAGTTGATGAAGCAAGAATATCAGCAGTCTCATTTAAAGTCATTTTGTAAGTTCTATGGTCGATGCAATGGCCTTGGCCGCAAATACAGTACAATTTATCATGGAGTCAAATACTAAGAGACGTTTTTCAAATTCATTGTTAGTCCATTATTTATGAATTGACGACGGATTTTTCGTTATTTCCCTATTATAACAAGGAGCACAGGGAGGTCGTGGCCGGTCAACAGGAAATGCTCACTCCTCCATGGCATCTGATTCCACCTCCGAAGTTTTGGAGAACCGTGTTTGCTCTGCTCCTATTTTGTATTGCTTTATGGACTTTGAAATTTAATTCTGTTTGTCATCTTCATTCACTCCATATATTATAAAATATCTAAAAATCAATTGATCATATAAATAAATTAATATTCATGAAAGTGTTTGAGACTGCACAGGATGTGGAACACAAGGAGTCCAAATTTGGAAACCCACTAAGAAAAGCAAGTAAAAATATTTTTTAAAAATTGTAGAGCGCCCTGTTTAATTAAAATTATTCTAAGGCGCTTAACAATTTATTTCTGCTGGGATCTGATAAGTACATAAATTGAAGCGATTAGTTAAAGAGGAGGAAGAGGGAGAAGGAGCTACATATTCCGGATGTTCAGTTACGAATGAAATAAAATTTACCCCTTTGTGTTTTGTCAACGAAATACACAGGCGGGATGGTCAGGACAGAAAGCAATAAGAATATAATTTTGACCCCAGAGGGCGATGGAAAAAAAATCATATAACCTCGGAAGAATGCAAATTTAAGGACATTTCGCATATCATATTTTTCATAAATTAAAGAGTAAGATTTCGATTTGTTGATTTTAATATTTTTTAGATAATTTTAATCAACTGATTCAATAAAACAATTGAGTGTCATTTACTTTAAAAATATTTATAAATTGTCATGTTCAAACTAAATAAAAATAACTTTATAATGAACCAAGTGTTACAACCCTGAGGTTCCTTTGTAATGACGTCATGATTCAATAAACCAATAAACATTGAAAAAATTAAAATTCAAATCAAATACAATTGTTCTTTACTTTCAATATGTACCTCAAATACAAAAGATATTCTGATTCTTCCAAACCAGCGAATCTCACATATCATATACATTTCCTAAACCTATCAGCCATTAGTGGAGAGCCTCCTCTGTTCTTCCCTTTG